CCGCATTTTTTATATAATTTTATTTACACGATATTATTTTTTTTATATGTATTTTATTTTTTTTTTTTTGGGTGAACAAATATTGTCTTTATGGAATCTAACAAATAATCCCTTGGATTTTTTGGTTTCCGCCGTTAGTTCGTGTACGTTCAGTGTTTGGCATGTTATTTGGTTTATTCACTTTTCAAAATCTTTTAAGCCCATAACGTTGAATAATGGCAGCAAATACACTGAAAAAAATTGCTCCGTTTAGACTCATACACATTATACATACACTGCACGGATACAGAAGGGTATTAGCGAGTTTGTGTGTTTAGACGGTTTGTCAGTTTATGTCATATTAAAGCTACCTGTCAAGGAGAATTTTCTTTTTCAATATTGTGCGAAGTGTGTTCTATTTGTTTTTTTTTTGCTGTTATGATTTTATTTAAATTCTTATTTCAGTTTATTTTATTTTATTTTGTAGTATTTACTTATTCCATCATGATTTCATTGTATTCGGGTTATACAATTCGAAATTCTACAAGTCGGCATAAAGCCCATTAATATTATAATATTGTATGCCATAAGCGTAGCAGACACGCTTTTAGCACTTAAGTGCTAACTGCAGTAAGTTCACTAGGCAACAATAAAATCAATTTTAATAGATCCATAGAACTACTTAATCGCCTTTTAGTCATAGTTATTTGTGGTAAATTCCACAATTTACTCGCTAAACACACAATATTTGGAACACTTGCTTCATATTAAATTGAAAATATAACAAAAATTAAGTTGAAATTAGCTCAGCATCCAAATTGCCGCTGATTTCCAATGATTGACTACTTCAAGTTGTGCCCATGAAATCAAGTAACATTGGAAGCAGACGAACGTTTCTGGCATAATTTGCGCACGGCGTGATATTGGCCTTAATGATGAGCTGTACGGTTTTGTGTATATATTTTTAAATAGGCATTTAACAGATTATATATGCTAATGACTTAAACATAATAAGTAATGAGCGATTTGTACTTTTTTATTGAAAATTTTAAATTTTATAAAAATTACAAGAACATTTATACAAATCATTTACAAATTGGTTTTACTAAGAAATTTTTTTTTGAATACACAAATATATACATACATATATAATATAGTGCATATATATAAAATAATTTATTTAGAACCATTTTATATTAAATATAATGGATTTTTTTTAATTACATGGTTTTTTTAAATAAATAATTTGTAAATACTATACCTATGATTTTCTCGATATTGCTAAAGTTCTACTCTGCGAGTGCATGTCCCATTGATGTGAAGAGTTTTTAGTTAGATGGCGCTGTAGGAGGTGTTAGTAGGTTTGGGAAGTACGACGATTGTGGAAGGATGTTCCATGTAAGTGATTCCAAGGAATCTTTGACTACTTTTGCTATGTGTGACGGCACATTGTAGTGTAAAAAAAAAGCATTTTACAATATTTTTTGTACCATTCCGGTCATGTTTCGATCAATGCGTGACTTGTATTAATGTTTTGTTGGCGATGAGCTTGAGCGTTTGAGATTCCTTAGATTTCAAGAGCTCATAATACACAATACTGCTCTGGTTCCACTAGACACAAAGCATGGTCTTCTTGCCAAAGTGATTAGGTCTTAGTGTTGAAAACTGCGTTTTTATCCGCTTCGGGTGTTCAAAATAAATCCATTTTTCATCAACCGTCACAATTCGATCAAAATATTCTCAATTTTTTATTTTTAATTCAATTTTATTTTTATATAATTTTTTTTGCTTTATTACTTAATAATTTGTAAATTGTTATTTATTGTGTATATATTATAATAAAACAAAAAAAATTCATGAAATATATAAATGATTTTCTTTTGTGATATTGAAAGAGCACTTTTTCAAGTGACTTTAGGACTTTCAATTTGACGTTCATTCAAACCCTATAGGACCTATGGGAGCTATTCACCCTGTTTTTGATCCTTCCCGTTGATCATAAACGTCTGTTGATTGCTTCTTGTGACACAAAGGCATTAAATTGCTTGTGTAATTGTTGTTGATTTTGATTTGAACATCATCCAATAACACTTGCAATTATACATTGTCACACTTTTCTGGTCTACCAGGCGCTCACTGTCTATCAGATAGAAAACAACACTTCTAAATTGTTGAAACCGGAGTTGAGGTACAACTCTGTCCTTCTGGACTCAGCTAAAATTACTTGCATCGATGAGTACCTTTTCTCACTCTCTCGGAGGTACCTCACGCGGCTACATAACCTCCCGTCTGACATCATAACCCCTTCTCGGTATTTAATTTATTTATATTAATAGATAAGAAAAAGGGCTAGTCAAAAGTAATTAAGTGAAAAAATATAATAATAAAAAACTGCCGTCTTAGAGCACTAAATAAAATAAAAAATTGTTCTCATAAAAAAACATACTAGCTAAATTTTCCGAAGCAATTGCATAGAGAAGGTCTTTACACACATTTTAAAAAAATAAAAACAAAATATGAGCACCCTGTTATACGTTAGAGTGTACTTTTAAAAATATACGTTAAGTGAATATTAGTTTAAATGATCGTTAAACTGATTCACATCTTAGCAATTTCAACTAACAGTTAAGGAAACCTAACTTTAACTCTAACTCTAGTTACTCTAGGGTTAGAGTTAGTTTTAATGGAAAATCTATGTAACAGATTTTATGTACATAGACGGACTATAAGTCCACTGCTTTATCTAAAAGTTTATTTACCTCACCTATAGTTGGAATATATATATTCAAATTATTAAATTTGTCTTATACTTTTCAATTAATGCATGTAGCTCCAAGACATATAGATATTATTCTAGCTAAGAAAATGTTAAAATAAATATTGTTATTAATTCTTGAAAAAAGACTTAGGTCTACCTATGTACTGTTAAAATTATATATTTAAACTTCTAGCAAGTGATTTTCCTTGTTATTTCTATATAATTTATTATCTGAGATATGTATATGTATATATATATCTAAATTCGGTGAGATGGATTTAGTTTTACTCTTCTCTACTAGGGTTCTTTAGCGACCTAGCCAAATTTATAGAACTGTCAATTTGGTTTTCCTTTACCTAATGGGGGAGTCGTTACCTTCGTTAGGCGTTGAATGTATACTGATCTAAATCTATGTACATACCAATGTCACTCTTGTGGTACCACAATGGGCCATCATTTGAGCTCAAGTGGGCTTTTTGGGATACAAGGCCGCCACTTCAACTTACCTACCTACCTACTAGGGTTCTTGCGAGGAATGCGGTAGCAAAGCGGCGAAAAATCGCTAATTAAGGTACATGGAAGTTATTTGATGGCCTGCCACTGTAAGCAACCATCCAACCATGTATATGAGTAAGAAATAATAAATGAAATAAAAATTGTTAAGAATAAATCTATCAGATAATATATAACATAGCAGACGATAAAATAAAACATATCCTTGTCTTTCGTTAACACAGAATCTGCCAAAAGCGTAACTATAATGCAATTACTAATATATTTACTTTAATTAAATAAATATTTTTATTAAAATTAATTGAAATTAGTGCGTATATAAATAATTTCAATATTTTATTTTAATTTTAATATTGAGCACATCTTTTTTTCTATTGTCACATTCACCTTTGTAGATAATCTGAGTTTTTGTTTATTTTTTCAAATACTTGATTATATACTACAAATTATATAAATATATTTACAAGTAATGATTGGAATAATAATTGCATTCTCATATATCCCAAAGGTTATCAAATAAACAAAAACCTATAATGAGATTATTGACATTTGCAAATCACACTTCGGGCACTACGTGAAGGATAACAAGCACATGTGCATGTGCAGGAATTCATAAAAATACAAATAATTGGATTAATCTAGCACTTCCAAATTTGTCTAGACAAAAGAAACTTTTTTAATAAACAATAATTGTTTTTTTTTATTTTTTTATTTATTTATATATTAAAGTATATCAATTTTCATAAACTCATACGTGTGTTGATAAAAATATTATTTGATAAAAATAATTTCCACTTTTATTTACTTAATGTCTGTCTGTCTGTCGGCTCTGTATGTTATGTATATCGAATTAAAAAAAAAAATCCCATTCAGATGTGCTTTCTTATATTTAAATTTTCAAACTTTTTAAAGAAACTTATTTCAAACTTTTCTTTAAAAATATTTTAAGCAGAAAAGTATTTGCAAAAATACAAGAATTCTTAAAAAAATCTGAACTGCACCAGCGACAAAGATCCTGAAACTTGAATTTTTTTGCTGTTTAAAAAACTTCTTAAGAAACTTTAATTAAGGATAATAATTGTTTTGCAACCAGTGGTGTATGAAAGTGCAATGGAGCTTGGGGCTTAAACCACCCTTGCTTATAAAATTTATTACAGCAGTTTATATTAGATATAGCGAACTTTTACTTAATTAAATTTGTTTATAAGAACTTAAAAATAACTACGAAAATCTTCCCCCTAGAATAAGCCTTTGGATACGCCCCTGTCTACACCGTAATATGAACGAATTTGTCGACATAAATTTGTGAAGCAGATGAGAAGTTGCTGTGCATAATCAGTTTAAATTTTTTTGTTTAAAAAATTATATTTAAGTGTATAATTTTTTAAATAAAATATCTAATTTAATACAGACATTAAAAAAATTATAACAAATTTTATTAAAAATACAATAAAAATAATTGCGAACGTTTCGGTTAGTCCTCATAACTGTTTGGTAATCGTAATAAAGCGAAAATAAAAGCTAAAGTCTAAGGACACTGAGGAATTGTCGTGAAATTAAATATCCTTAGAAAGGAACGTTTGAGGAAATAAAAATAGAATTACTGCAATAAAAGCAGAACAAGAAATGAAAATTAAATTGA